TTGTCTTACAGAGGAGACAGCAGCACAGGCTGAGTGGGGAACGGGAGCCAGGCCCCACGGCTCCAGCCTGAGCCTGGCTGGTGACAGCCCCTGCCGGTCCCCACCCTGGGGCACAGGGACCACCTACCCCTGGCAGCCCCACCCAGTCTCCCGAGTTCTCCCCGAGCTGGTTTCCTGCCACATGCAGGCAGGCCTCACGGTAATCAACAGCTCCCTAATCACATTGATTTTCTCTCCTATGGGCCCTCATCCGCCTGGGTTCCAGGAATGGTGTTTCCAGCAGTCACTGGTGCGGATGATCATCAAATGGCCAAACACAAGGCCACCAGGCCTGTGCCATGGAGTGAAGCTACGTGGCTCTGCTCTTAGGCCTGATGATGCGTGGATTCCCACTCGGGAGGGGGCACCTCCACCTCTCTGCCCTCCGTTCTCAGGGGACCTCGCTTCCTCTGTGGCCAGGCTGCTGCCTGCCCCGGCCCGGCAGCCCTTCTTCCCCTCCATGTTCCCGAAGTTCCACGATGCAAACCTGACTGTGCCCAGCCCCGGCATCCAGGCTGCTCTGTCCCAGCCGAGCCCCTCGTGTCCCCCGCAGGTCCCAGGACCAACAGCCCCGCCCCTCCCCTCCGCTGCCAGCAGGTCCGAGTCTACGGAAACAGTTTGGGACAAAGGACCCGGGACAAGGACCCTCAGGCCAGCCATGCTGCAGCCAGGGCTACGCATCCACAGGGGAGCCGCGGCGCTGCTGCCACGGTGGGTAGAGAAGGGCGCATGGGTGTCCCCAGCACCTGTTTGGCCAGACCCCGCCTCCACCAGGCCCCGCCTTCGCAGTCAACACGCAGAGTGACAGGGCCGGCCAGGATGAAGCCACACCAGACCCGCCAGACCCGGCACAGAACAGGAGGGCCAAGAGGCCCAGGGCCTGGGGCGCCCTTTCCCCGAGGTCTTCTGTCTCTTACTGGGCCTCTTTCCATTTTTATTTCTTGTTAGTCCACATTTGCAGCACATAAGGATCACGCCCCCTGAGTAGAGCTGGTGCGGGGACTCACACTCCCCAGTTCTTTGGCCACCCCTGCCATCCCTCCATGGCTTGGTGCCCTTCCCTGTGGAAAAAGGCCTGCCCCCTGCTTCCGCATCTGTCTGTTCTGAGAAGGGTCTGTTCATTTCAGTTGCCCAGGATTGATCAGGTCTTTGATTGCGGGGGATGAGGTCTTTGAAAAAGCAGATCTAAGTATGATGTGTTTTCTCCTTCCAGAGCTGAGGGTGAAAGCCCGGCATCCCGCACACAGGGCCCCGCCACTGCCGACCTCCAGCCCGGCCCTGACTTTTTAAATCCTCCACTCATTTGGCAAAGTGAAAGCACCCTAGCCCCTGACTGGGCAGGAGGGTGAGGTAGATAGGGGCCACTCACACCCCGCCCCTACACAGGAGGGGCCAGCAAAGCCAAGCTGAGGACAGATCCACGGGCCGCCCGGGGCTCACTACAGGTCACGATGTGGGGCTGAGGACACACCCCACACCGGGGCAGAGGGAGCGCCTGGCTGAATTCGTCAGCCTCAATGCCCGGTCTGAAGCCAGGGGAGGCAGCAGCTGGTGCCCCGGGCTGTGCCCTCCGAGAGGCCCATGTGCCTGGGGACGTCCACTGGGTCGGAGAGCCTTGCACCCTGGAGGCCACACTCCACCCCCTGCCCCCCACGGCCCTCCCCCATCTTTGCTTACCAAGCAGCCCCCTCTGTGGGAGACAGAGCAGGGGAGCGCCCCGACGGAGCCGTGGAGCACCCATCTGTTGCTGGCTTTTTGTGAGCCTCAGTTTCCCCAGGTTCAGATCACTGGTGGCGAGCACCGCCCCAGGTCCGCTGCACACCTCGTTAGATGCAGATGTGGCTGCGCAGGGCAGGTGTGAGCTGGGACTCTGCGCTCATTGCTACCCCAGAGGACGCAGAGCCCCAGCCCAGGGCCCACTTGTGCTCTGCTGTGAGGCCCAGCGAGCGCCCAGGTCCTCTGGGGGGCAGACTTGGCCTCTGCCTTGCAGGATGTAGACTCACAGACGGTGACCACCCGGACCAAGGGTGCAGACAGCGTAGTGAGTAAAGGTGAACTCAGAGTCCTGTACCCATCCCTGAATCCACACGGCCGTCTTCTTCCATGTTGGAGATGAGCCCCAGGGCCTGGTGCACGCTAGGCAAGCGCTCTGCCACTGAGCTGCACCCTAGCCCTTTTAAAGCTTTATTTTGAGACAGGATCCTTTGCAGTTTCCCATGCTGGCTTCAATCTGCTGATCTGCCTGCCTCAGCCTCCCACGTAGCTGGGGGCAGCAAGCTCACTCCAGCACACCTGGCTCTCACCTCTCTTCACAGCCCCGAATCATGACCTGGGTGAGCCCTCTGTCCATCCCAGTGCCCATGCGGCCCGTGGATCTGTCCTCAGCTTGGCTTTGCTGGCCCCTCCTGTGTAGGGGTGGGGTGTGAGTGGCCCCTATCTACCTCACCCTCCTGCCCAGTCAGGGGCTAGGGTGCTTTCACTTTGCCAAATGAGCGGAGGATTTAAAAAGTCAGGGCCGGGCTGGAGGTCGGCAGTGGCGGGGCCCTGTGTGCTGAGGGCCCTTTGGGGTGTCCTCAGCCAGCTGGCTGTTTAACTTGGTCCTGGAGGTGCGGCTGTTGGGAATGCAGACCATGCAGGAAGCGGCCCCTGCGCAGCCCGGGGTGCGAGGTCACACACACCACCCTGCACTCCCTGCAGCCTGTGGAGGTTGCTTTCTACCTCCGCCTGGACCTTCTGTACCCCATCGTGCACCACATTATGGCATCCAGGTGGACAGCGGAGGAGGTGCTGAGGGCAGAGACACCCCGGGATGGGGCTGAGGGAAGCGAGGGCCTGGCCGGGCACCCCGGGCCGCATGGCAGGGGCAGGCCTGTCTGGTGCCCTGATGAACACAGTGTTCGGGAACCAGAGGGGCACGGCTGGCCCCTCCTCTGGTCTCCACTGTCCCACCCGACCTGATGGACCAGGACAGAGCGGTGCACAGCCCACCTGGCCGGAAGTCTCATCTCTGCCAAGCAAGGCCCTCGTGGGAGTCTGGGGTGCCAGCGTCCCTGCTCTCTGCCTGAGTGCCCGCCCCCCAAGCTCCCAAGCTATCACCTGCAGCTGGGCCCCTGGAAAGGGGGCTGGGACACCCCTCCACAGACCTCGGGGAAGCAGACCCCAGCTCCAGCCTCCACCCAGCCTCCACTCCAGGCAGCTGCACTCCCACGGGGGCCGCCCTGAGTTTCCCACGCCATCCACCAGCCTTTCAGTGCCCTCGCCGTCACCATGGAGGGCCAGACTCCCAGGGAGTGTGGTGGCCTCAGCGCCCTTGTGGGCAGGGACCAAGCTGCTCCAGGCCTCCTCACTCTCTGAGTGGCACAGCCCACGGGGCGTGGGGTCCACCTCCTGCCTGCGCCTTGTGTCCTGGCCTGGGTGGCCCCTGGGTTCCGCAGGCAGAGCAGACGAGGCAGAGCCACTGCCCCCAGCCGTCCTGACAGGTGGCCCGTGACCACGCACCTGGCTCTCCCGAAGGAAGGACACAGGCAGGGCAGTAGGGACCAGGCTCTTCCAGGCTGGGACTCTCCGTCCTGTGGGTGGATAAGGAGCTGTGGCCAAGGACAGCACTGTGGGGAGGAGCCGCCACCAGGTGGTCAGGATGCGCAGCACCAGCCAGGCCTCTCCAGGCTCCCTTCCCAGGCCTGAAACTTTGTGCTGGGCCTCTCCTCCCTGCGTGCAGGACGAAGGGCATGAGGGGCTGATGTTCCGACTCAAGGGGCTGGGACAAAGCTTCAAGGGCACAGGCCCCACGGAGGGGCGGAGGGGCGGACAGAGCTCTGATGACAACTGTCAGCTCCCCCCCTTCTGGAAGGCCAGAGAGACTGGGGCTTCTGTAGGGTGGGGCAGGGCCGTTCGGAGCCAGGATTCCCGGGTCCCAGCTGAGACACCCTCCTGCCAATCCCACCCCACACGCCACCTGGGCCTCAGCCTTCCTGGCTGCTGGGGCCTGGGGACTCAATTGTGTTTGGCCTCTGGGGCCTCCTTGAGCTGCCGACCAGCTGGGCACTCAGCCCACGCAATCCCCGGCCAGTGGTGAAGAGCCAGATGTGGGGGCTGCCAAGGCCAGGGGGTCCCTCATAGGACATGGACATGGATGCATTCACCTGAGCCCTGGGGCTGGGCGGAGACAGGCAGGCTGGGGTGTCCCACCCGCACCTGAGACCTGGTCCCCTGGCTTTCCAGGCAGGGACAGTGTGATGCCGGAGTCCTGCAGGAGGGGCTGGCTCCGGGACCCTAGGCAGCACTTCCATTGGCATGGGGTGTCCCTCAGTGCAGAGGGCCTAGGCGGAAACCTCCTCACTTTGCCTCAAGTTCCTGTGGGCTCTGGCTCTAGGGGACCTTTGCCTGGGGACCCAGCTGTGAAATGGACCCACAGCATGCTGCCTGCCTGGTGAGGTGGCGCCACAGACAGGCCACATCTGAGGTGCAGGAAGCCCCAGGAGGACCCCAGGTGGGACCCAAGCGGCTGGCTCCAGGCTTCGCACCTGACCAGGCCTGCTCAGGGTACACAGGGGCAGCTGCCAGGCCTGGGCCCGGGGAGCAGGGTCCAGAGATGAAGGCTGGGACCAGCCTGGGTCCAGGGCTTGGGTCACACTGGGGACGGCTCTGCCCACCCCAAGGGCCCTCTATCCACCTGGGGGCGGGAGGCCAGCCAGGACGAGGACATCGTCCCAGTTTGCAGACAATGAAACCATGACTGCCTGGTGGCATGTGGGCTCGGGTCAGGGAGAGGTGTCAGCAGCCCTGGACCCTGGTCAGATTCCTGTCCCTCTGGGCCACCCTGGGGATGGGCCTTCCCTGCCCCGGATCCCAAGACGGGGACCCTTTGGCGTGGGTAGCCACTGGCCCCAGAACCCAGCCCTTTGACTTCTGCACATCCCCCCCCGCCCCAGCCTCACTAGCCAAGCAAAGCCTAGGAACCGTGGGTTTGAACTGACTTTATTATTCTGTAAATGTGAATTTTACAAAGCGCTTTACAATTAACGGTGACATCTTTTGCTCGGCAGTCATGGCCTTTCCTTCCCCTGGTCGCTCCGCGCACCTGGCGGTTGTTTAGTTTTCGATACAGTGTTGTCAGCCATGGCTACAAAGTTAACAGTCTCGTCACTACAGAAAACAGCACAGAAAGGGAGTGAGGAAGGACGCAGGAAGAGCAAAACAAAAGCTTCCTCCTCCTTAAAGGAAAACAAAAAGCCAGCGTCTTCGGCAGCTGAATCTAAATCAGTGGCTCTGGGAGGCCCTCCTTTACAGCACAGGAACAATTGCCTTCATTGACTTATTTTTTAACAGGTGTGAGTTACAGTACTAGGCCAACCCCAGACAGATCCTGTAAAATAACCATCTCCTTTTTAAGTCACTTCTCCAAACATTCTGTCGGAAGGATGAATGTTCTATTTGCACCCAGTGCCATCTGAATGTTCAAGTCGAAAATATTTATACATTTTATACTTAGCTCTGGTTTCTTTTTTTTTTTTTTTGTCTGCTAAAAATAGTATTGCAAGTTTTGGCTTCTTTTGACATAAAAATCACAATTGTGTGCAAAATGCTAACGATGGAGGCGACTGATCAGAACACAGGCAAGTTGTCCAATCTGAAAGCTTTAGATTCTGCATCATTTCCCATTTCTTTTCATTTTTCAACAAAACAAAACAAACGAAAGCCGAACACCTTTGCCATCTGAGAAACGTCTGTACCGAGCCCGCACGCTTGCCGGCCACCGTGTGATGGCTGGCTGCTGCAGCGTGTCCTGACTCAGTAGTTAAAGCTGACAGCTGCGCGCTCCGGCCCGGCCCGGCCCAGCAGACAGGTGTCCTCCGCGTCCAGCAGCCCCCGCCCGCACCCGCAGACTTGCGGAAGAACCCGTTGGAGGGGACCTCAGCAGGATGAGGCAGGGCAGGGCTCACAGGTGCCAGCTGCTGAACGGGCAACACCAGGCACACCAAGGTTCCCTCAAGGGGGCAGCCCGGCCCCAACAGCCATGCTAGGCGCCTCTACCCCTGTCCGCCTGGCGCTAAACACAGCACTTTGGTGAGCTTGCAGGGAGGAGGAGGAAGACCACACAGCCAGTCTTCCCGGGCACCCATCCAGCGGCCACCCAACACGGGACACTGGGCGGCTCTCACGCAGTGTCCACATTCAGGGGCAAAGGAAGACACCAAATCAGATGCAACTGAAGCAACCACAGAGAACACGGGTGTGTGGGCCCGGGGCAGGAAAGAAGAACAGAATTCAAGTACCGAGGTGCGCCGGCCAGGCGGGCGGCCCCACCAAGCTCACAGTATCTGTCCCGTCTCTGGTTCCTTCCTCTGGACCTTTTGCACTTGTCCCAGCTGCCTCCTGGGCCGCCCCCTCTCCGAGGGAGGGGATGGAGGGAGGCCGGGCCGGTGGCTGGACCCAGGCCAGCACCCGCCTCAGCAGCTCCAGCATGGTCAGTCCGACTGTCCTCCAGGAAAGGCGCCGATATAACTTAGCTCTATAATAACTCTATATAGTATATGCGTATTGCTAGTAGTCAAGCTTAGGAATAGGGGTGCAGACATCTCATAAATACTGAGTGGCTCGCCTCTCGCCTACAGGGTCTGGGTGAGTCGGGTCACACTGGCGGGACGAGACGCCCCGATTCTGGAATTAGTCATCTTGTAAACAAAGGAAGGGGGGGGGTCCGGGGTTCTTAATTGGTTTCCCTTGGGAAAAATGATCAAAAGATGCTAAGGCACTCTGGAAGGCCCCTCCGAGCCCGGGCCCGCTGCCTGCCCCGCGGTACATTCAGGTGGGGAGGGAGCACCCGGCAGGTACAATCATCGGCCACGCACGTCTGCGAACGCGCCCCACCACGTCCACCGCGGGACACATTAGTGCAAAACGCTCGGCCTGGCCCGCCCGGGGCACAGGAAGAGCTCAGAACCCATTCACATTGAAGTACTAAGTTTTACCTATAGCTCTTGCCTTCCTTACCCAGAACAACAAAACAGACAGCGATTATAAACAATTGAGGGACGGGGTGGAGGGACATTGTGCTACCCGAGCAGAGGCCAGGCAGGACGTGCGGCCACCTCTCCAGCAGCCGGCAGCACCCTCCTGTGCTGGCCCAGGGTGGGGGCCGTGCCCACTGTGGAGTGTCGGTGGGGACAGAGCCCTCCTGTCTCTCAAAGGTCCCCAGGGATGGTCAAATTAAAGTGCACATTTGGGGGCGGGGGGTGTGGGGCAGATGAAGGAAAACTGCAGAGGGCCAGGGTGCGGCTCACCCTCACCCACCATCTCCACCACCCACAGCCCCTCTGGCGCCAGCGAGGCTTGGTCCAGGCCCTCGGAAGCCCCGGGGACTCCAACCCGGGAGATGGGGCCTGAGATGGGGGTGGAGGGGCAGAGGGGGCAGCTCTGGGCCGGGGGCTCCAGCCCTGGGTGAGAACCAAGAGCTGCTCTAGGAATGCACGGGTCTCCCCAGGCTCGGGCCCCAAGCTCTGCCCTAGTCCTCACCCACGGCCCCCAGCCCTCCAAAGCCGCCAGAGCTTTCCAGAGAGCAGGAGGAGTCTCCCCGTAACTGGGGAGGGCAGCGCCCGCAGAAGTGGGTAGGTGGGTGGGGAGGTGGAAACCACACCTCAGCCCCACCGTGGCTGGTGAGCCTGCTCAGCCTGTGTACACACAGGAGGTGCCAGGCGAGCCCAGGGTGGACAGAGGAACGGGACACAGACCATCAAGTCTTGGAATGGGGTCCCTGGCCAGACTGGGAGCTGCAAGGCTCTGCAGGCAGGGATGAGACCCCCAGGTGGGTGGCCAGGAGTATATCCAATCACCTGCGCGCCGCTTCTTGGAAGCCAAGCTTCCAACTTACAGTGAGCACTCCAGCTTCATGCTAGTCGGCAGCCCCTGGGACCTCTTTCCTGTTCCCACCTGTCCTCGTCCCCGACTGCCCAGCCCAGGCCTGCGCCTGCTGCCAGCCTCTGTAGCCCCAGGCACTGCAGAGGTGGCAGGAGGGGCCCCTGAGCTCAGACTGCATGTGTCCCAGCTGAAGCCCTGAAACCCCTCTGGCTCTAGCGGGAGGTGAGCAGACCCTGGCTCGAGGACTGGGCACAGGTTTGCAAGCACCCCTGATCTGTGGTAGGCTGGGGACATGGACATCTGCCCCTCCCCATTTTTTGCTCTGTTGGGTCTAAAAGTTTCCAAACCATATATGAAATAGATCTGAACTAAAGGAAAACACCAAACAAGCAAAATCCCAGAGTGGCTGGGGCGTCAGAGGGTGGCTGCAGCTGTGCAGGACCCAAGGTGGCCCAGTGTGGGGAGCCCATGGGCAGGTGGGGGGCAGCCGGGCCTCCAGGGGGGCTGGGGAGCCGCAGCACAGGGGTGGGAGGCAGAGTGAAGACGGGCTGGTGGAGAACGCGGCATGCGTCCTCCACCCCTGGTGACCAGCAAAGCCGTCACGGTACATCACTGGTCCACGCTCACACGCGGGCACGCGTGCACACACACACATACACACTCACCCACACATGCACACTCCCCGCACACACTCACCCACGCAGATGGCATCTCAGGAAGAAGGAAAACGAGCAGGGTTTGGCCCTGGAGACCCTGGGCTGCCCCACGGTAAGAAACGGAGTGTTACCCCACTCCCAGCCGCTGTCCCTTCCTCTTCTGGGGCAGGAGGAGCAGGAAGTGCGGGCGAGGCAGGGCAGGGCCGGGCGCCGGGGCTGGAGGCCTTTCGCCCCTCCCGGAAGGGGAGAAGAAGCTACAGGAGCAGACTGCCCTCGCGGTATCAAAAAGGAGCCCGGGGCCTTGCTCCCAGCGTGGTGGCCAGTGGCCTAGCTGTTTACAGTATAGTGAGTGCATTTTCCTTCATCCATTTAAATACAGGCAGAATAAAAATCACATTTTTGTCAGGCAGCAGTAGCAGTTCAGTAGGTAAGTGGCTTGATCACATTTGTTTGTATTAGTAACGCATGCAAGCAGCTTAGCACTGTCCCTCGAGAGTCGGCCCTGCCGGCCCCTCTTACAAAGTCCCTGCGTAGGTGCCCTCGGGCCTCCTGGTGGCCGGGGCGCTGGCCGGCGTCTGGGGCCTGCTGGAGCTGGCGCTGCCCTGCTCGAACGGCTGCGGGGGGCTCTGGCCGTCGGGCAGTGGCTCAGGGGCGGCCACCTCCTGGATGACCGAGCCGGCCCCATCCGCCTCCTCACCGGCGTCAAAGGCAGGGTTGGCAGCCGCACTCAGATCCACGTTCACAGCATCAGTTCTCAGAGCCACGATGGTGGCCGCGTCGCTCCGCCGCTCGGCATAGATGCGCTGCTCGAACACCTGCGCGGCGGTGGGCGGAAACTCAGGGTCGAGGGGCAGGCCGGTGGCCGAGGCGCCCATGACGGTGCGGTACATCTCCACACCCTCGGGCAGCATGGACTTGATCTTGGGCAGCCAGCGCTTGCGGACCCGGCGGGCATTGGTGCACATGTCCGCAGCGATGACGTTCATCTCGCTCTCCTTGAAGCTGGGGGCGAAGTTCTGACAGTACACTGCGGGAGGCAGGGCGGGACAGGGTCCCGAGCCACGGTGAGCCTGGGGGATGGGGCAGCGGACCCGCCCACCTGTCCCAGCTCCCGAACCGGCGAGGCCCCGGGCACTCCTAGTCTGCAGCAGGCCCTCTGTCACCGCTCGTCCTGGAGCTCACCCCAGCCCAAAGGTGGTCTCCGGGCCTCGCCAGCCCAGACCATGAGCATTCAGAGGGTCCCAGAGAGGAGTCGGCTTGTCCCAGGTCTCAGGAGCAACAGATGGCAGGCACTGCCACCAATCAAGAGCCCTCCCTTTCTCCACAGGGACCCAGCCGGGCCTGGGTCCCCAGTTACACCAGGTCAGCAGCAGGTCCCCCACCCCAGGGCCGCTGGGCCAGCACCAGCACCTCACACACATCGGCCCGGCCGGGCTGTCACCCGGAGTTGTGCGTCTGTAATTACCAACTGCCAAGGCCCTTCTGCTACAAAATGAGATCAGCCTCACCAGGGACTTTTTGTTTTGTTTTGGTTTGGTTTTTGGGTACCAGGGATTGAACTCAGGGCCTGGCGCTTGTGAGGCAGGCGCGGTACCACTGAGCTAAATCCCCAGCCCCACACCAGGCATTTTTTAAAGCAAGAAAATAAGAGAGTCTCCCATGCTGATGGTCATGGGGACTGTGCTCTTGGCCAGGCCGCCTGGGAGGGTGAGGGGCAGGGGCTTCATCCTCCGTGGGGCCACGGGGCTGAGCACGGGCAGTGGCCATGGAGATGGACCAGGCCCCACCACCACCCGGAGCGGGAGGCAGGAGCCAGCCGAGCAGATGGCAGAGGCTCAAAATAACCTCAACATGTAAATAAGGGGTTTTGTTCAAAAAGGAAAATTAGATCTATTTCACATATTAAAATAGTTTCGCAGCTGAATTCATCACACTTGGAAACCCACCAAGGACATTAGCACCCCGACACCGGCGGGGTGCTGCTGCTCTCCTCTCTTCTGCTGGGGCCGCCCCAGGGACCCCCCACCTGCCCTTCCTCCAGGCAGGAACTGAACCCCCAGGGGCTCGGGAGACTCCCGAACCCAGCACCCTGGCCACTTACGTTTCACAGCGTTCAGGACCCGGCTGTCCAGCGGCTTGCGGCTCGGGTCGCTGGTGGACGAGCGGATACCGGTGCCACAGCTGTTGGCCAGCGTGTTCCTGGCAGAGGGCAGAGCACGGAGGGTGCAGGGTGAGACTGCGGGGCCACGGGACCCAGGGCCCCAACTGCCCCGGTGGCCACCCTCAGAGCATGTGCTTGTCCTGGGTCACAGGACAGCGGGGAGCAGGCAGCCGCCCTCAAAGGCTCAGGACAGGCCTGGTCCCCAGCAACTGGGCCGAGACGCCGTGCTGGCCACGCGATGGGGAACCCATGACTTCTGCTCTGTTTAGGGAGTATCAGCCTTTGGGGAACCCCCGGTAAGCCGTCCCTGCCCAGCCTGGGCCCGGCCTCAGAGGGCGTGCCCTTCCCTGGAGCCCCCCCCCCCCCCAGACGGCCACACGGAGGCATCAGGAGGCTGTGAACCCAACCCGAGCTCACGGTGAGGGCCTCTGGTGCCGTCGGCTCTCTGACTCTGTCCCCACCTACCTGTCGAAGAAGGTGGCCAGGAGCCTCCGCAGCAAGACCTTGTGCTTCACCCCTGCGCAGAGGTGGCAGTTCATGAGCTGGCCACGCGTGATGTAGACCCCAGAGCCTGTGGCCGGCAAACATGCAGTGTGAGGCCCGGGGCCACCTCGGCTTGTGGCCTCCTGGTGGCCGTCGGGTCCTGTGATGGGGAGTCTTGGCCCCGCCTGGCGGGCACTGCACACGCTGCCCCGGTGCCCCACCCCCCCCAGGGGTACCAAGCTCCTCGCTGTCCTGTCGGCAGGACGGGGCCACCCCAGCCTCAGTCGCCCCAGGAACAGCACCAAGGGGCTGCCCTGGCCCTTCCCAGGTTCCACAGAGCCTCGGTAGTGAGGGGTCCCAGAGGGCAGGGCCGGGGCCACGCTGTGTCAGTGAGCCTGTAGAGACCTGGCCCTGCCCTGGGCGAGTCCCCAGAGTGTGGGCGGGTGAAAGGCAGAGCGACAGGAACAGCAGGGAGGCCTCATGGACATGGACGTGGCCCCGGGAAAGAGCAGGGTGGAAACCCGAAGGTCCCCCAAGCCTTCCCTGTCCTGTCTGGGTTTCCTAGGGTCTGTGAGAGCACAAGGACTGCCTGTCCTCTCTCCCAGGGACCTGCTGTTGCCCAGGGAGACCTTGCCCGTAGGCAAGCTTCATGGAGCCCAGGTCCCCTCCCGGCCAGGGCTCAGCTGTCCCTGGCCCTCCCTGGCCACCTCTCCAACCTGTACCCTGAACACAGGCTGACCCTGGGTGTGGGGGCCAGGCTGCCTCTTCCAGGCCCCACATCTACACGGGAGGGACCCCCGAACCCCCATTCACCCAGGCCAGCAGGGACAGGGGCTCAGGGAACAGGTGGATGGTGGGGGCTCACAGCAGACGGGACAGTGGGGACGTGGGCACCAGACTGCCAGGGTGTGCGGCCAGGGCGCCGACAGGCAGGACCCCGAGCGGCTGAGGCCTGGGTGGTTGCTCCAGGGACCCCGCCCACCCCCACGTGGAGGACTTTCTCCAGAAACCAAGGGAAGAAACGACTCAACAGCCACATGGGATGACAGGGCCGTGAGTGCTTAAAAATCTACAAAGAGCCGTAAGATCTAGTGAAGTCCAGCCCCGGAAGGACAAGTACTCTGGCCACAGGCACCACCCAAGTGGGCCCCCAGGCTGACGGCGCCGCTGTTCTTACAGAGCTGCACTGGACTGCGAGCTGCCGCCTGGAGCCTGAGGTCACCTCCCGGCCGGTGCAGCCAAGCACTTGGGGTGGGGATGCCATGACACCTGTGTGTGGCATCACTCTATCTGTGACCTAGACTGAAGTGCACGCAAACACATTCCCAGCCAATCAGGAGCGGGGCCGGCCCAGGGGATTCAATTAAAATGCTAAATTAATTCAATTGAATAACTCCCCTTAATGACACATTCTTCTAAGAGGAAATTAGAGGAAATTTAAGATGTTCTTCTTGACTGATTGGTGATGAGTGCACTGTTCATGGCTCTGAACAAATAGGTGAGCGGACGTTTGCGTACAGTCCGGCGAGGGGACTCACCTGCCACCAGCTCCAGCTTCTCGCCGGGGTCCCCCTCGGAGTAGAGCTTGGGGTGACAGCGGTAGCCAATCTGGCTGATGAGGCTGGCGGGCAGCGCCACGAGGTCTCGGCGGATGAGGACGCAGGAGCGGCTCTCCAGCGGCACAGGCTCTGGCTTCTCTTGCACTGCGACACAGAGCCAGCCCGTTAGGTGGGCACCTGTGGCCCGGCAGGCTGCTCTGCTTGTCTGCTGTAATGCTTTGATTTATTTTATTTTATTGGCAGTTCTGGAGGTTGAACCCAGGGCCTTCACACTAAGCTACCTCCCCAGCCCTTTTTGAACATGTTTTGAGATAGGGTCTCACGAAGTCAGTGGCTTAGCTTGAACTTGAGACCCCCCTGCCTCAGCTTCCCGGACCGTGGAGATCACAGGCATGCATCATTGTACCCAGCTCTGCCATGCTCCTTGAGCCCCAGGCTGGACCTGCCCTGTGCCAGCCCGGGCAATCACAGCACGACAGCCTCCCTGCATCACCCTGTCCAGTCCCCTGCTGGCCTCATCCTGTCGCTCAGGGCGTGGCAGTGAGGGCACCCACCCAGGCCAGGGCCATGGCGCTGAGGGTGGCAGGACCTGGAACAGAACGCAGGACAGCCTGGCAGGGGGTGCGGCAGCTGCAGCCAAGGCTCAGGCCCAGGGACTGGCGGAGCAGCGGCTGCTGGAGGAACAGAGTGGGAGCAGGCGGGCCCAGAACCGTTACCCCAGACCTGTTAGGGCAGCTCCCTCCAGAGGCAGCCAGCAGGACCGGCCTGCTCCCCAGTGAGGGGTGGGACCTTAACAAGCAGGAGGACACAGCCTGGGACCAGGCCAGCCTGGCAGGGAGCCGCTCTGTAAATATCTGTCAATAGCAGAGTGGGGTCTGGGGGCGCCCCCGCCTCCTGCTGCTCCTGCTGCTCCTGACACATCGGGCTGGACTGGGCTGGATCAGGGACAGCCGCACCTGCTGCTCTGCAAGCTACACACCGCGCTGCCTCCCAGAGGGGCCCCGGACGTCCCCAAGCCTCCTGCAGGGGGCATCGGCTCCACGGGGCTCCCGGCCAGGCTCCGCCCTGGGCACCTGACCAGCCTGGCCTGGCCACGTCCCCAGCAGGACACTGTAGCCAGCATGGGGTGCTGGGATCTGCTCTGGCACTCACAGTCCTCCTCTACTCTCCTCCAAGACTGACTGTGCAGGGCACCCTCAGTGCTGAGGGGAACAGGTGGTCCCGCCCAGACTGCCGCCCTCCTGGACCGCCCCACACTGCCCCCCAGACACGCAGGGCCAGCAGCCCCACACTCTGCTCCACGGGAGGCTGGAGGGTGCAACCCTCACACACACTTGGGGCACGATGCCATTTGTGAGCCCCGTGTTCCAGGCCGGGGAAGGGCCTTGGGTCTCCTGGGTGCAGGTCCTGCTCGGGGAGGCTGGGGTCAGAAGCCCCCAGGGAGGGGCCGCCTTACAGGATCTGGTGCTTGATGCCCAGAACCCACGAATCCTGCAGCTCAGGGGCAGAAGGCCTGGGTCAGACAGAGGGCAGAGCCAGCCAGCACTCAGGCCAACATCAGGACACGAGGTGACCTCACACAGGCCCAGCCAGTGAGCCACTGCCCTGAGACCTAAGTCTCCAATGCTGTCCCCAGCCCCCAGCCCCCTCCATCCCGCAAGGCCTCGGGCTGCTCCCGGGGTGGCATCCGCCAGCAGCTCCCCACAAGCAGCCATGACCTTCAGGCTGACTGGCTGGATTTCAGGGAGGAGGACGGCTCCGAACCAGCAGACAGCCAAGGTGAGAGAGAGGCTAGGGGGTGGTGGCTGCAGGGGTGGGGGCCTCCCGGGCAGAGCTGTGGGGGGTTCGAGCGGGGAGTCTCCGGGTTCAGGGAACACGGAAAACAATCCGATTGGGATGATATTTTAAACATAATTATGCGCCCCCCCCCCGCCTGCTGTGATTACACAGTTGAGCGCAGCGCCGTGGCATTTACATAAAGAGTGTTCACCAACAGAAATAATTCCCCATCCACAACCACCTCGGCGCGAGATGTTTTTCCCAACAGCAGAAGTTGTTTGCGCTCCGCACGCACTGACCCCCCCAGCCCAGCCCGGCTCCCCGAGAGCAGGGACCGTCAGCACCAGAACCCAAAAAAGACGCATCTATTTCTGCCTTGCCGAGCACTGGGTGCTGCAGCTAAAAATATCCCGGGCAGGGATGCAGCCGCTCATCTGCAGAGGTGCTCCAAATCTGCTCGCGCCCACCAGGGGCTGCCAGGGCCAGGCGGCAGCTGGTGTGGACAGAATGCCCGTAGTGGGCACAAGTCAGGCAGGACCTTGCCCAGGGGCTGGTGGGAGGCCCCTTGGGGGTGCAAGTGACTCTACGGCCACACTGAGGTCCCCCTTTCCCCCACCGCTGTTGTCAGCAGCCCCATCAATGAGGCTCAGCTCCCAGAACGGCAGCCCGGGAAGGGCAGCTCGCAGATGGGCAACAGGCTGTCTGTGTGGAGAGGTGGCAGCCATGGTCCACGAAGGGGCTTTGGTCCTAAACGTTGCGGAAGTCTGGGGCCATGGTGCACCCACTGTCGAGGTCACAGTGGTCAAGGCAACACAATGAGAACAGGGTCATGAATACAAGATGGACCCTCCAGGGCTCCTGACTTCCAGGCCTGCAGGTCCCAGCCTGGGCAGCAGACACTGCAGGGACCAACACCCTGAGCAGGTACCGGACCCCGAGTCACTGTGCTGGGCGAGATAAGCCAGCCAGACACAGGGGGCCAAATCCTACAGAACTCCACTCTTAGGGCATGCGAAGCCGGCAAGCTAAAGAGACAGAAGTAGAAAGGGGTTCTGGGGTTGGGGAGGAAGCGGGGTCAGCACTGTGGGGCAGAGTCACGGAGAGGTCATGGAGGGTGGGGAGAGCACAGCAGGGCGAAGCCCCGAACATCACTGAGCTGTGCACTGAAAATGGTTCGAACAGTCACTGTGTGCTGTGTGCTAAAAACACATTTAAAAGGAAAGGAAATTGGGATGCAGCTCCGTGGTGGAAGGGAGCTTGGCTCTGGGGTCTCCACCGGAAGGGTGCGAGGCGCAGGCATGGACGGGGACAGCTGGAACCCAGGCTCAGCCCTGACTTCTGCTTCTGTCCCTAGCTGGGCTGCAGAAGAGCTGGGGACCCTCTCTGAGCACACCTTGGGGACACTGCCTGGCAGGCAGGAGACCCCCCACGTGAGCCCGCTGCAATCCTGGTGCAGGAGCGCCCTGGGGTCCCGGCCGGGAGGCATCGCCTGTGGTCCTCCCTGGGGGGGGCACCCCCTACAGTGCAGCCGCCGTCCCAGTCTTTGATTATGGAGAACAGCACAAGCCCGGGTTAAAGGAAAACGCTGACCGGAGCCCTCGGATTTTAAGGCTCCCACGAACCGGTGCCGTATGTGCAGAGGCAGCTCTACAGTGTGGCAGGGGGTCACCGAGACCCACAGGAGGGCGCAGATGGAAGCAGCCGCACACGGGCTCTGAGGTGCAGGCAGGGTCACGGACCTAGGTAGAGAGCACTCACTCTAGGGAGAAAGTGACAGGCTTGGAGGTGACCCCCCAAGCGAAACCCCTGAGAAGTATGTAACTGATAGGTGGCCACAGTGGCTCATTCCTGTCATCCTAGCTCTCTGGGAGGCTGAAGCAGGAGGATCACAAGTTTGAACCCAGCCTGGGCAACTTAGTAATTTAGCCAGACTTTGTCTGAAAATGGAAAAATAAAAAAGAGCTGGAGATGTAGCTCAGGGCAAGGTCCTGGGTTCAATCCTTAGTACTGAAAGGAAAAGAGAGTGTGGTCTCCTTAGCGCTCGGAGAAGGGCGAATGGATACTGCTCGGAGAAGCCCTGCGTACCAGGACGGCGGGACAGCAACCCCGCCCACACCAGGCTGGGGAGGACTCGGAGCATGGGGCCAGGGACAACCCCACTGCCAGGAGCAAGCCAGGGCCAGGTGAGGGCAGCTCTGCAGGTCCGCAAGGCGTTGCCACACGCTGGGCACCTGAGCCGCCACTGTGCGCTAGGTCTTTGCACGTGAAACTCGGAGGCCAGGGGCCCAGGCGGTGCTCAGCCGCCCCCAGTCCTCCCCAGCAGTGCATAGGAAGGAGCAACAGTCACAGCCAGGCCCTGGTGAGACGCCGGCTCCATGGTCACACGCCGGGGTCCCCTGGTGCGGCCTTCTCCAGAAGGCAGAGTCAGGGACAGGGAGTAGGTCAGCAGCTGCCAGGCCCTGGGGTGGGTGTGGGCGGCCACCGGGGGTGGCGCAGAGGGGCACGGCAGGTCCCCAGGTGGCCCGAGCTGCTCAGCTCCCTGCGGCCTCAGCCAGCACAGACGCATGTCCGCCGGGGACCCAGGTGCGCCCCGCCAGCCTCGCCTGCCACGGACCCCACAGCCTGCTTCGCCCTGCTGGCTCCTGATGGCCACAGCCCTGGCTGCCAGTCTCCTCGAGTGACATGGGCACCGTGTGGCCAAGGCTTTGGAAGCCTTTCCTCTGGGCCACGGCCCTCTCTACGCAGTGTGGCCACCAGGACTGCGCCCCAGGGCCTCCCCTCGGGCAGGGCTGGCCCATTCCAGGTGGCTGCACTGCGGCTCTGCGTCCAGGCCTTGTCAGGATCCTCGCTCCAAAAGGGCCCGGGCTGCACCCGGGGAGGCACAGACCCGGCTGTTTGTTAAGATGCAGTCTGCTGTGTGCGACAGGACAGAAACGCCACGACAGTGACCAGGCCACACCACAGAGGTCAGACGGCCCTGTCGTGGTGCCAAGCCGGGGGGAAAACGCATCTTGGGCACCGTGAAACCTGGTGTTGGGCCCAAAGGCTTGCGGATGGCCGGGAGGAAGCACAGCAGAGGTGAAGCCTGGAGCTGGACCTGCAGCCGGCAATAAGCGGGCTCAGTCCCCCCAAGCACCCCGAGGCTTCTCCACATCAACGCCCCTGGCCTAGACCTCCAGACCAGGGTGCCCGCCCAGCACAGAGCCCGGCCCCGCTGTGCCCCCAACATCTCCGGCCCCTATTCCTGCAGGCCCTGAGTCCTGCCTGGAGGGCCCAAGGCCCCCTCACCGGGCTCCGCCTGGCCACTGCCCTCAGCCCAAGCTGGCTTCTGTCCCCTCCTGCCTGGAACGTCCTGGGCCTGTGCA